CGCATCCCTGCTGGTACACAGTCCAGGAGCTGCAAGTCCTGAGTACAGGGCCTTTCCGCTCCCCAGGAGCCTGGTCAAACCCGAGGAGGCGCCCTCAGCTCCCCTTGCACTGTCCACCGGCCGGCCCAGGGGCGTCATCCTGCGGCCCTGCTCAGAAGGCCGTGGTGTGCGGGTGTGGCCAGGACCTGCGCTGTGGGCCCTGTGGGCGCAGGTGAAGTCCTGGGTGCTTACCGGCATCCCAAGGTGGGTGTGGGCCCAAGGTGGACACACATCCTGGCTCGGGGACGCCGTGCCTGTTGGGGGCCCTCCTCTGGCCTAAGGGCGGAGGTGGAGTGTCCTCAGGCCCCAGCGGTGCAGCCTGTCCCCCATCCTCGTGTGTCGGCCATCCCCGCAGGGCAGGGAGCCCGCTGCTCTGGGGGGATGAGCAGTCCTTGGGCTTGGGGGGCTGTGTGTTGCTTTTCCTGCCTGCATATCCCAGGGCAGTGTTCCCGCCACCTAGGAATAGCTGCTGATGGTCTCCAGGCAGGCTGGAAAGCAGCCCGAGCAGAGCAGGGCTCAGGGAAGAACCGCCCACCCCGGCACAAAACCATCGGCCACTGTTCCTTCCCAGGGAGGGCTGAGCTCCCAGAAGGAGGAGGCCACTCCGGGCCTGTCCAAGCTCTGGCCACCCCCACCCTGGGCCCCACGTCCTGTGCCCCCAGCCCCTCTGTGCCCCCAGCCCTGTGCTGGGCTGGGGTCAGGGGGCCGGGGGCACTGGGTTCTCAGGCCTCTGTGGGCACCTAGGCACGGGTGCAGAGGGGCCAGGTCACAGGGCAGGTGGGTTACGGGAAAGGCCTCTAGGTGGGACCAGACCCCCTGCCAGGGCCCTTCAGCATCTCCACCGGACCAGGCTCAGTACCAGTGGTGGGGTCGGATGATGCAGAGGAGACAACCCAGCTACAGGGAGAACGTGCTGCTGGTGTTGGTGATGGTGGAGATGGTGGTGACGGTGATGACAATGGTGGTGATGATTATGACGGTGGGGATGATGGTGGTTACAACAGTGGTGATGGTGAAGAGGATGATAGCAGATAACTTACAGACTCATTACTAGGAACTGGTGCTGTGCTAAGCACATCATGTATAATAAAAACTCATTTAATCTCTACAGCAAGCCCGTCTTGTCGGGCTCCCACATTCCAGATGAAGACACCGAGGCACAGGGGTTGAGGCAGACTCCCCACGGTTGCACAGCGGGACCCCAGCCCTTGGGCCCGAGCCCGCGCTCCTGACCAACTCTGTAGAACCTCCAGTGGAGTCCTGGCAGGTTTGTTTGCAGCCAGGCCTTTGAGACGATGATCACCCTCATCATCCACAGAGTGGGCTGGAGGCTCTAGACCTGACCCTCCAGGCTGGTCAGATGGAAAGAAATCAGTCTTACAGACCCAGGGCTTCCAGGTTGGAACAAAACAGAACAAGTTTCCAACGGGTTTTGTGACCTACAGGGGAGGAGATGATGACGATGATGGCCACGAGGCTCTGCTCCGGCCCTGGGCCGAGGAGGGTGGGGGTCAGCGGTGCTCGGTGAAGTCAGCATCCTCACCCAGGCCATAGTCTCCTCCTCCCAGCCCTAACTGCCAGGACTGACTTGCGCGAGGAGCATCTGGGCCCCTCCCGGCTCTCACACCCTGGCGCTCTGGGCACTGGCTCTGGGGAAATCATGACTGCTGACCCATGGCTCTGGCATGAGGTCCTCCTGCGACCAGGCACCCTGGCTCCACCTCAGAAGCACTTGGCCTTGGGAGAACTGGGCTGGGCTGCAGGAGGCCCGCCTGCCAGGCTGCCCAGGGGATCTTCAGTAAGGAAGTGGCAGGAGGCCCGGGCATGAGGTGGGGTGGGGGCGGGGGGCAGGGCGGGGCACCAGCCACCTGACCTGGCAAACCCTCAACAAGCCATTCCTTCCGGGCACACGGAGGCTCGGGGAGTCTCCCAGCTCATGGGAGAGACAGGATGGCAAAGACGCAATTATGTCCCACGGCGCACAGGGCCTCTCCTGTGGGCCAAGGCTGCAGGGTCACCCGGGAGATGGGGGCACTGGCAGGCGGTCAGGGAGTGAGGGGCCAGGCTGCCACCTGGTGGGTCCTGGGCTCCTCCAAGGACCAGCGCAGGACCTCAGGGGAGGCTGACACTGAGCCAGCCACTGCCCGGAGCGCCTCTGCGGGCCTCCTGCCAGCCCGTGGTCACCTGACTCCATCCTAGTGGGCGCTGGACCATCTCCTGCCCCCTGCAGGCCACCTCCCTGCCCATCTGGCCAGGCCAGCCAGCCTGGGTCATTCTCCTGGCACCCCAGGCAGACCAGGCCAAGGGCCGGGTGCTGGGCAGGACTGGCAGTGGCTGTGTGCCCACAACCAAGGAGTGACAGCTTTAGGTCAAAGTCTGGAGACCTAGGGAGAGGCTCCTGGCCCGGCTTCCCTCAGTCAGAGCCACTCGGAAGCTCCTCCCAGCCCCAAGGGGCCTTCAACACCGGGCAGTCTGGGAGTGGGCCTGGAGGAGGGGGCACGGGTGAGGAGGAGGTGGTGGCCTGGGGACCCCGGGGTTGATCAGCCCGCTCTGAAGGACACTGCATTTTAGCCAGGGTGTCAGGAAACTCCCCGGGACTTCCAGGAACCAGGATGCAGGCGGGGAGCCCGCAGGGAGCTGGCAGGCGGGAGGGGCCTGCCCGCAAGGTCCAGAGCAGCCACCCTTTAAAATGCAAATCAATTTGCCAGTCAGCTGACTCTCCTTTCACTATCCTACCTTGTGGAGACGGGGTTTTTAAAAATGGCTTCCATGCTCACTTAAAAATACCTGGCACATGGACAGGTTGAGTCCCAAGCCGAGAGGAAGCGGGGCGGGTCACCCTTCTCATAAGTCCTGTCCCCTCTCAGCTCCGCGACACTGCCCCCTCGAAACTGGGAGCTCGGGTGTGGTCCTTGGGCTCCCCCCCCCCGCCGGGGCCCCCTGCCCCCAACACACACCACTGCCCCATCGCTGCCCCCAAAGCCCAGCTCATCCTTGGGTGTACCTGCCTCTCCACCCCAAGTGGCTGCTTCTGCTGACACCTAGGAGTTACCTCAGAAGCCCCCTTCCTCGCCCCAACCCCAGGCCCCTTTCAGAGTTTCCCCCAGCCCGTGCACCCCCACACCCAGCGCTGTAGCCCTGCAAAAGACTCTGGGGCCCCTTCTGCATCAGGGGGAGGCCTGCTGGAGGCTCTATCTCTGGACACCGCCGTCTGCACACACTCCTCCGTGCACACCCTGGCACGCTCCCATCGGGGGTGCCCCCGCCAGCTCGGAGCTGACTCACACCCGCGCTGCCCCATTCCTGGTGCCCGGGAAGGGCAACGCCCAGAAGGCGTCTCCAGCACTCTGGCGCCAGTGCTGAGCCGGCGGGCAGCCTCTGGTCGGGCCCCCTTCCCAGGGCCAGCAGGGGTCCCTGTTGCTTGGCCTTTCTGCTCCAAAGCAGCCATTCCCAGCTCTGGAGAGAGCAGGCTCCAGAAGCCGGGGGTGTGGAGAGCAGTCACGAGAAGGGGGCAACCGACCTGCAGAGGGGGCAACGGGTAGCACTGCCCGAGGCCTCCTGGGCGAGGAAGCGGCAGGCGGGCATCTCCGGGAACCCAAGCCTCAGACCTCCCCGAGGGTGCTTGGGGCCGGACTCTAGCTCCCAGGTCTCAATCCCCAGCCCGTACAACGCAGGGCGGTCTGGCGCTGCGAGGTCGAACTCCTCCCAGCCGGCTCCCCCGCGCAGCGAGGCCGCCCAGGGGCGAAGCCGAGCGGCGCCGCGGCGGCCCCACTGTCCGCGGCGGCGCCAGGGGTGGCGGCCCAGGCGCAGGTCCGAGCCTGGCGGGCCTTGGCCGCCTCCGAGGGGCGGGGCCGGCCGGAGGCGGCGTCCGGGTCGTCAGGACAACCGGCCGCCAGCCCTTCTCGGGTGTCCAGTCGAGCGCCGCGATCCCGGCTTAGGGGACCGGGCCGGGCCGCGCTAGGGGCAAGGTCACAGCAACAGACCGGGTCCTGGGGGCGGCCCAGGGGCCCGAGCCGCGTGCGGGACGCTCAAGTGCTCGGCAAAGTCAAGAACCGGCACCAGGCTGAAGGCTCGCCGGAGCGGGGCCCGGGCTGGGGTCCCGCGTCCGCTCCGCTCCTCCCCCTACCCGCGGCCGGGCTGGCGTGCCAGCGAGCCCCGCTCTCGCTCGGGAAGGCTGTCCTTCCCATTGTGACCAGGCCGCGTGGCGCCCTGGCCGCACCGGGGGTCGCACAGAACCCGCTCCCCGCCGCCATGCGACTTAGACTTGAGGGCAAATCACCCTCCCTCAGCCCGCGGCAGGCAACCTGGGGCCGAGCGCGCGCTCTCCCGTCACCCGGAGAGGCGCCGAGCACACGGGGTCGTCAAGTGCTCCGCTGGCGGCTGCGGCGGCCGCCGTGTCCCCTCGGTGCCCCGCGCCTCCTCGCGCCGGCCCACCGGGCTTCCTGCTCGCGCCGCCGGGACTTCCTCCCCGCAGCGCCCGGGTGGCTACCCCAGCGCCAGACCCGAAGGCGGGGAGCCCGGGGACTCGAGAAGCGAGGGCCGGGGAGAGGAGAGGGGGGAGACACCGTGGGGCAGAGAGGGGCAGGCGCCCCTGGTCGATCCCGGCCGGCGGGGAGGTGTCCCTGGGGCCGGGGCCCGGGCGTTCTCCCGGCGCCGGCTCTCAGATCCTCCCGGCGGGCGCTCGCGGCCGGCGTCGCCGGGGGTGGAGCGCGGCCCTGCCCCATCCCGGCCCATCCTGCCCCCTCGGTGGGGCTCCGCAGTGCGTCTCCGCGCCGGGTGTGGAGGCCGCACGGCCCGGCGCGCGTCTGAGGACGCCGGTGCCCCGCGCGCCCCTCCCCGCGCCCCCGGCCCGCTCGCGGAGGCCGCCCCGAGCGGAGCTTTGTGACGTCAGGCGGCCGGCGGGCGGCGTCACGCGCGGGGCTGACCCGGCGCGGGGCGGGGGCCGGGCCGGGACGCGGAGCATGGAGCCGCGGGCCGGCTGCCGGCTGCCCGTGCGGGTGGAGCAGGTCGTCAACGGCGCGCTGCTGGTCACCGCGAGCTGCGGCGAGCGCAGCTTCGCCGGGATCTTGCTGGACTGCACGAAAAAGTGAGCGGGGGCGGGGGCGCGAGCCCGGGACGCCCCCGGATTCCCCTCGGGACACTTCCCCCCTCCCCCCCGCGCTGGCCCAAGGCGGGGACCCGCTCCGGGGCGGGGCGGCGTGGCGCCCGCGCCCGCTTTCGGTTTCCCCAGTCCCAGTTTCGGGGTGCGCGAGCGCGGCCGCCGCTCGGGGGGCAAAAGTGGTTCTCAAAGTCGTCGCGACTTTTCGGGCGGGGGATCGCGCGGCCGGGCGGGGGGCGGCGGGGGCGGCGGGCTGGAGCCCGGGCGCGGCGCGTGGATCCCGAGGCCCCGCACCCGCCGCCGCGATGCCGGCTCGTAACTCCGCACGTCTGCCATAATTAACGCACTTTTCTTTGTTCAGACGCACTGTTGAATTCGGCTCTGTTCAGAATTGTCATCCGTTGCGGGGGGGGCGGGGGGGCTCCCGTGTGCTGCCGCAGTTGCCTGGGGGCTACTCACAAGAGGGGGTTCCGCGGGCCCTGAAATGCCCTCTTCCGGCTCCCGGGCGCAGTCGGGGCTGAGGTGAGGACAGAGGGCGAGCAGTTGTGTCCGGCAGCGGGATGTGAGAACACTGTTTGGGGTTAGGAGCCCCCAGGCGGAGCAGGGATGCAGAGACGAGTTGCAGAACTGCGAGGGGGCGCCCCAAGGGAGCCGGGCGTCCCTGGTGGAGGGGTCCCCGGGCAGGCCTGGGGCAAGTCCATGCTGAGAGGCACCTGTGCGCCAGCGGCAGGGAGCTCTGCAGCGGGAGAGTCTCCTGGATACAGTGTCACATGGTAGCGAGCTGTCGCGCAGATAAATGATTAGGCATTAATCAGGCACTAATGTCTCGAGGTTCTGGCTGGGCCTTAGCCTAAACCACCTCCCCTCTGCAGAGGCCCACCTTCGCCCCTCGGTGCAGGCCGGGTTTGTGCCCGTGGCGTGGATGTGGTGGGAGGACTGTCACCTTTCAACAGTCACCCCGCTGGCATTATCTCCTCATTAGATGTGCCAGAGCCATTTACGCACAAGTCATGTGATTTAACATATGGCTTCCCAGGTGACTTGCCGCCCTGCTGGGAGCCAGCTACTGCAGAGAGGGCTTGGTGGGACCCGGTGACCCCGCAGGCTGCAGGCAAAGCCCCTCGGGAGGGCCCAGCCCGCGCCCTGGGGTGGCCGAGGTCCCCTGCTGCCTGTGGCCGGCACTTGCCCGTCAAGCAGGGCCGCACTCCAGCCTTCCTGCACAGCCCTGCCTGGCCTTTCCTCTCGGCAGCGGGCACTTGCAGGAGCAGCCCCCCCAACCCCATTTTCTGGGCTCCCCGACTCAGGACAAAGGAGGCTGCAGGGTAGACTCGTGGCTAGGGGTGTCTGGAGGCTGCAGGCTTGCTGCCCTTGCTCTCTGCCTCCAGCCAGGGCTCCGGGCCCTGCGGCCTGTGGATGCCCTGCTTTGGAGATCTGCACTGCCCCCCACCCGCTCCCCACCCCCTCGTGGAGGAAGCAGGCTCTGCTGGGATCCCAGCATGGGGACTGGCAGCTGTAGGGCGTGTGGGCGTCCGCCCTACCACGGCCACGTGAGGCTGTAACCGGAGCCACCCACGGAGCCAGGGGCTGGGCCTCAGTGGGCACAGCTCAGCTGGGCAGCGCCCCTTTCTGGCTTGAGTAGGCCACCTAGTCCCTGCAGAGAGTCTGAGGCTTAGCCTGGCCTCTCCCAGCCCCCCGGTTGTCTGAAGCCTGGCCCCAAAGCCATCCCTGCGCCTGCCGACCCCGCCTCTCCTCTGCGGTCACCTTCAGTTTCATCCTGACCCTGGTTTTCTCCCATGATATTATGAGTTGCAGTACTCGAGTTTACAGCCAGCTTGTCAGGCAGGGTCCAGAGGCCTGGGCTGGGTGTCCCTGGCAGAGGGGGCCTGGCCTCAGGCCTCAGAGTCCCCAGCACCCACCTGCCTTCCCTGGAGCCCTCCCCCTCCCCCCTACACTACGGGGGCAGAGCCAGCCGGTCGGGCCTCTTCCCGGGCGGGCGTGGGCACTGACGGGCAGAGAGAGCAGCTGGGGGCTCATATTGCAGGCACCGCCCCCCTCCCGGGCCTGCGGGTCCCCAAGCAGCGGGCTGGTGCGGGGTTGGGCCAGGTCAGCAGGCCACTGCGCCCGCAGTGCCCCTGTGGGGCACGGGCCAGTCACCACCATGCGTTAGCCTTGCTGGAGCACGCGGGGCAGAGCTGGGGGTGTCCTCCGGGACGGGCAGTTCTCACAGGGGGCCCAGCTACCAGTATTAATTTGATGGCACTCGGGAGACGGTGCCCCTCGCTGCGGGCCCTGAGCTGAACATGCGTGTGTCCTTGGAGGCCAGGCCGAGGTCCCGGCGGGTGGGAGGCGCTCGGTGCCCAATGCCCCCCCATCCAGCCTGGAACCTGCTGCCCGGCTGCCGTGTGGGCTGAAGCCAGGTCCTCGGGGACTCTTGTGTCCACACCCAGTCAGTGTGCGCGAGGAGACAGCCTGAGTCTCAGGCTCACTCCCCCGCGTCTCCGCTGGGCAGCGGCTGTTCTGACACTCGGGATGCAGACGGCCCAGCCTGCCACGCCGCCGTGGCTCCTGTCTCCAGGCCAGGGTCCAGGCGGATGTGGGCACTGTTTCATAGGCGACTTGGGGGTGTGCCTCTGCTCAGGGACCTCAGGTGGGGCGGCCAAAGACAGCGAAGGCTCTGAGTGGTGAAGAGAGGGGGTCCCCAGACGAGGCGTGAGGGCTAGCTGCCTGTCAGGCCTGGCCTTGACCTCTGAGTTGGGGTTTCTTAAACTTCCCAGTGTGAATCCCCCGGCCATCACCATGCAGACTCCTGGGCCCCTCTGCTGGAAAGGTTGGTTGCAGGCCTTTGTGACCCTCCCAGAGGGGTGGGGTGGAGAAGGAAACGGCAGCCCACTCCAGTACTCCTGCCTGGAGAATTCCATGGACAGAGGAGCCTGGTGGGCTCCAGTCCACGGGGTCGCAAAGAGCTGGACACAACTGAGCGACTGTCACTCACTCAGTCACTCACGGGGGTGGCGCCCGAGGCTTCTGGAGACAGCCTCTGGAGACCAGCCAAGAATCCCCGCCCGGCTGGTCCCTGGGCATGGGAGCGCCCCTGCTCCATCCTGGGCCCACCCGCCCAGGCCCCACTGGCTCTTCCCCCACCCTCGGGGAGCTGGAGGGTGAGGGAGCCCAGTGCATCACAGGGTGGCATGACCTGCAGCCAGTGGGCAGAAGCCTCACCAGGAGACCAGGCTGGCATGGCTGATCTCTGGAGCTGCTCCAAGGCGGGAGGGGGGCTGGGTGGGCCTGGCCTCAGGCTTCTGGGGGCCTCAGAGAGGTGAGCGGGACACAGCTGAGTCGCACTGGGATGATGCTGAATGTTCTAAAACCCTGGATGCAAGACCCTGGGAGCAGCTGGGGCAGATATCCTATGTTGCTGTCCTCAGGGAGGGGCAGGGTCCCCTGTGTGGCCCTGGGGAGGGGGCAGGGTCCCCTGTGTGGCCCTGGAGAGGGGGCAGGGTCCCCTGTGTGGCCCTGGGGAGAGGGCAGGGCCCCTGTGTGGCCCTTGGGGGGGACAGGGCCCCCTGTGTGGCCCTTGGGGGGGACAGGGCCCCCTGTGTGGCCCTGGGGAGAGGGCAGGGCCCCTGTGTGGCCCTGGGGAGAGGGCAGGGCCCCCTGTGTGGCTCTGGAGGGGTCAGGGTCCCCTGTGTGGCTCTGGGGAGGGGGCAGGGTCCCCTGTGTGGCCCTGGGGAGGGGGCAGGGTCCCCTGTGTGGCCCTGGGGAGGGGTCAGGGTCCCCTGTGTGGCCCTTGGGGGGGGCAGGGTCCCCTGTGTGGCCCTGGGGAGAGGGCAGGGCCCCTGTGTGGCCCTGGGGAGAGGGCAGGGCCCCCTGTGTGGCTCTGGAGGGGTCAGGGTCCCCTGTGTGGCTCTGGAGGGGTCAGGGTCCCCTGTGTGGCTCTTGGGGGAGACAGGGCCCCCTGTGTGGCTCTGGAGGGGTCAGGGTCCCCTGTGTGGCCCTGGGGAGAGGGCAGGGCCCCCTGTGTGGCTCTGGAGGGGTCAGGGTCCCCTGTGTGGCTCTGGAGGGGTCAGGGTCCCCTGTGTGGCTCTTGGGGGAGACAGGGCCCCCTGTGTGGCTCTGGGGAGGGGTCAGAGTCCCCTGTGTGGCCCTGGGGAGGGGTCAGGGTCCCCTGTGTGGCCCTGGGGGAGGGGGCAGGGCTCCCTGTATGACTCTGGGGGGGTCAGGGTCCCCTGTGTGGCCCTGGGGAGGGGTCAGGGTCCCCTGTGTGACTCTGGGGGGTCAGGGCCCCCTGTGTGGCCCTGGGGAGGGGTCAGGGTCCCCTGTGTGGCTCTGGGGGTGTCAGGGTCCCCTGTGTGGCCCTTGGGGGGGGCAGGGTCCCCTGTGTGGCCCTGGGGAGAGGGCAGGGCCCCTGTGTGGCCCTTGGGGGGGACAGGGCCCCCTGTGTGGCCCTGGGGAGAGGGCAGGGCCCCTGTGTGGCCCTTGGGGGGGACAGGGCCCCCTGTGTGGTTCTGGAGGGGTCAGGGTCCCCTGTGTGGCTCTGGAGGGGTCAGGGTCCCCTGTGTGGCTCTTGGGGGAGACAGGGCCCCCTGTGTGGCTCTGGAGGGGTCAGGGTCCCCTGTGTGGCTCTTGGGGGAGACAGGGCCCCCTGTGTGGCTCTGGGGAGGGGTCAGGGTCCCCTGTGTGGCCCTGGGGAGGGGTCAGGGTCCCCTGTGTGGCCCTGGGGAGGGGTCAGGGTCCCCTGTGTGACTCTGGGGGGTCAGGGCCCCCTGTGTGGCCCTGGTGGAGGGGGCAGGGTCCCCTGTGTGGCCCTGGGGAGGGGTCAGGGTCCCCTGTGTGACTCTGGGGGGTCAGGGCCCCCTGTGTGGCCCTGGGGAGGGGGCAGGGTCCCCTGTGTGACTCTGGGGGGTCAGGGCCCCCTGTGTGGCCCTGGGGAGGGGTCAGGGTCCCCTGTGTGACTCTGGGGGGTCAGGGCCCCCTGTGTGGCCCTGGTGGAGGGGGCAGGGTCCCCTGTGTGGCCCTGGGGAGGGGTCAGGGTCCCCTGTGTGACTCTGGGGGGTCAGGGTCCCCTGTGTGGCCCTGGGGAGAGGGCAGGGCCCCTGTGTGGCCCTTGGGGGGGACAGGGCCCCCTGTGTGGCTCTGGAGGGGTCAGGGTCCCCTGTGTGGCTCTGGAGGGGTCAGGGTCCCCTGTGTGGCTCTTGGGGGAGACAGGGCCCCCTGTGTGGCTCTGGAGGGGTCAGGGTCCCCTGTGTGGCTCTTGGGGGAGACAGGGTCCCCTGTGTGGCTCTGGGGAGGGGTCAGGGTCCCCTGTGTGGCCCTGGGGAGGGGTCAGGGTCCCCTGTGTGGCCCTGGGGAGGGGTCAGGGTCCCCTGTGTGACTCTGGGGGGTCAGGGCCCCCTGTGTGGCCCTGGGGAGGGGTCAGGGTCCCCTGTGTGGCCCTGGGGGAGGCGTCAGGGTCCCCTGTGTGGCCCTGGGGAGGGGTCAGGGTCCCCTGTGTGACTCTGGGGGGTCAGGGCCCCCTGTGTGGCCCTGGGGAGGGGTCAGGGTCCCCTGTGTGGCCCTGGGGAGGGGTCAGGGCCCCCTGTGTGGCCCTGGGGAGGGGTCAGGGTCCCCTGTGTGACTCTGGGGGGTCAGGGCCCCCTGTGTGGCCCTGGGGAGGGGTCAGGGTCCCCTGTGTGACTCTGGGGGGTCAGGGCCCCCTGTGTGGCCCTGGTGGAGGGGGCAGGGTCCCCTGTGTGGCCCTGGGGAGGGGTCAGGGTCCCCTGTGTGACTCTGGGGGGTCAGGGTCACCTGTGTGGCCCTGGGGAAGGGGGCAGGGCCCCCTGTGTGGCCCTGGGGAGGGGGCAGGGCGCCCTGTGTGACTCTGGGGGGTCAGGGCCCCCTGTGTGGCCCTGGTGGAGGGGGCAGGGTCCCCTGTGTGGCTCTGGGGGGTCAGGGCCCCCTGTGTGGCCCTGGGGAGGGCCCCTCTGGAGTCCAGGCCGCACTTCCTGTCTCCCCGCTCCCTGAGCAGAGGTGGCCCTCAGGGCAGCCTGGCGCCCGTCTGCCCGCCTCTTCCACAGTGCCCGCCCCTCCCCTGCCCCGGGCTCCGGCCTTGCGGCCGGCCGTCTGTCTGTAGGAGACAGGGCTGTGGGAGAGAGAAGCTGCCGTGTGTTTTCTGAACCAGCGCTGGGGCACTCAGCCGGCCTCAGGGTGGGCCCCGCCTGGAGGCACGGGGCTGTGGGCTCTGCCCGCACGGGCGTCCACTGCAGGAGGCTTCCCTGGACGCCTGGCCCGGGGGTGGTCCCCGGGGGCGCTCTGTTCCAGGAGCCTGGTCCCCTCTTCGCGGGGCACCAGGGTGGTCTCTCCCCGGGAGAGGATGAGGCAGGAAGGTCCGGGGAACCCGGCTGGGCTCAGAGGCTGCTGCCGGGCCCCAGGCCTGTGGCGGGGAGGTCGCGGTGGGCGTGTGGGGGCTCTCGCACTCCGGCAGGCTGCCTGGCCGGCTCCTCCTGGCCGTGGGCCCACCAGGGCGGCTCTGGGGGTGCCCCATACAGACGCCAGGATGAGGGTGAGTGCAGGCCTGGCCCCTGCTGTGGCACCGAGGATGGCAGGCCAGGCCCCTGTGTCCCTGCGGGCGGCCACGCCCTCACCTGGACAGAGCAGTGGGAGACCCTGGGCGCTCCGTCTCCTGTCCCCTCGGGGGCAGTGCTATTCTGCTTTGGGGTCTGACCCCCGATAAGCCTCACGGCCGAAGACGCCTGTGCAAACTTCCCCCTTTCTCACCCTGGCTCTGTCCCCTGCCCCTCCTCGCAGTCTTCTGTCCCTCCCACAGCTCCCTGAGGACACGGGGCTGCGGTTTGCTCCAGGCCCCCTTGGGCTTCCTGGTCAAAGCGGGGCTCCACCCGCGAGTCTCCCCAGCCCCCAGGCCTTGCTCCCGGCTCCTTCTCTCCACCTCGGGGGCAGCACCTGGAAGTCCCAGTCGGCTCAGACCTCAGCACAGCAGAGGGCGGACAGTGGGGTCTGGCAGACCGTGTCTCTGGCCCCAGGGACCCCCCACCTTCTGCCACCAGGCCCTGCAGTGTCGCCGCGGGGCTCTGCCAGGCCAGCTGCACCTCCGTCCCTGAGCGCAGGCCCATGTGGGTGGAGCCCGGCCTCGCCGGGGACCCAGCCCCACGGTCATGCTCAAACCTCAGTGGCTCCACAGCTTGTGCCCGGGGGTCCAAGAGGCGCCCCGTGGGGGCAGGCTGCTGAGGTCCTTCCCTCAGCAGAGAGCGGCCTGGGCTGGAGCCGTCTCTGTGCCCCGGGGCAGCCGAGCTGGGGGGCAAGCACAGACCCTGCCCGCCCCCCGGCCTGTCCCAGCCTCCCTGTCCCAGCCGAGAGCTGGGATGGTGACCAGGGCGCCTCATGGGGCTGTAGACGGGGCCCTGCCCACGGCCCATGGCTGGACAGCCAGGGTCCCGCTGGCCCTGTTTACCCACCGGCAGGCGTGGGTGTGGCCGGGGCCGGGCAGCTGCTCCGGGAAGGAAGTGCCCCAGTCACGGGGCCTGCCGTGCCGGCCACGGCCGCAGTCCCAGGCTGCCTGCCGTCTGGAGGGAGGCACCCCCTTTGGGCCGCAGCCCCGTGCTCAGGGGGACCTGCACCCCAGGGCAGGGCTCACGGCCTCCACGGCCTCCTGGTTTGATCTGCTGGGGCTGGGGGGAAGGGGGGACGGGGTTGACTGCCAGATCACCACGGCTGCCCACCACCCTGAGCAGAATCCGCCTCAGAGGGGCCAGGTCCCCACTGCTGGCCCCAGGCTGGCCCTGCTGCCCCCGTCTCCCCACCTTTCTCTCTCTGCACCCCTCACCCCCTCCTGCCTCAGTCACACTCGCAGCTCACAGGCCACTCGTGAGCCGGCTGAATGAACTGCATCCTTACGGCCAAGCAGAGGACAGGAGGCCATGGCCCTGGTTCGCTGGACCCTCTGGGCATTGAAGTGTGAGCCTTCCACCCCCTTCAGCAGCTCCGCCCATGAAGACTAGATTCAGGAGAGATGTCCTTACATAGGGTTCCCTTAATGGCTTTGAACTGGGACTCCGTGGTGGCTCAGATAGTAAAGAGTCTGTCCATACTGCAGGAGACCTGAATTCAATCCCCAGGTTGAGAAGATCCCCTGGAGAAAGAACTGGCAACCCACTCCAGTGTTCTTGCCTGGAGAATCCCATGGACGGAAAAGCCTGGCAGGCTACAGCCCTTAGGGTCACAAAGAGTCAGACATGCCTGAGCGACTTCACTTTCAGACTTGATAAAGTTTGATGTGATTCCTGGGTGGCGCTAGCAGTAAAGAACCCACCTGCCAATGCAGGAGACGTAAGAGACTCAGGTTCAGTCCCTGAGTGGGGAAGATCCCCTGGCATTGGGAATGGCAACCCTCTCCGGTAGTCTAGCCTGGAGACTCCCATGGACAGAGAAGCCTGCTGGGTTACGGTCCACAGGGTTGCAAAGAGTTGAACATGACGGAAGCAGCTTAGCGCAGCGCACAGCACTGGGCATTTACTGGTGACCTTGGATTCAACAGAACTTGGACGGCGTTCATGGCAGACGTGCCCTCCCGTGTCGGACTGTCAGGGCGGCCGTGGGCCCTTGGCCGCTGCGCTCAGCCCTGTTGCATGCAGCCCTCTTGCCCGCCTCTGTGGCCCACGCTTCTCGAGTAGCCTGCACCCGGCTCCCAGCCTCCCGGTGTCCCTGGGCACCCATCCCCTGGACGGCAGGGAGGAGCCTTCCGGCCACAGGTGCCTGGGGCCACCTGGTCGCAGACAGAGCTGCCGTGGCCAGTCGGTCGATCTTAGCAGCCTTGGTTCTTCTGGGGAACAGTAGAAGCAGAAGTCACTTGGAAACAGTGAAGCAGCAAAGCTCACTTATCTTTTCTGCTGCGATTGAATTACACAAGGGAGGGAGAGATGGAGGTGCAGTATTCTAAACTCTTGTCTAAAAGTCTGTTCTGTGCTGTAAAATGAAAACTAACAGCTTTTAGCTTAAGCAGTCTTACAAACTGAATCGCATGTGTTTGGAGTTGTGTGTCACTGCCGGGGGAGGTGTAGCCTGTTTGGGCTTGGCTCTCCTTGTGTGGAGCAGTGTTTTCCTGCTGCTTCAGGAGCGGCTCACTCATGAGATGTGACTTCAGACGTTCCCAGCATGCAGGCCGGCTGGCCAGCACTCTGGAAGGGTGATGCCCTGAAGCCATTCGAAGCAAGCGCGGGCCATTCTGGGGAGCCCTGGGGTGCTGGCCACGTGCTTGGCCTCGGCTGTGGGTCCCTGTGGGATGGGGGGCCTCCTGCCTTCTCTGGACCTGCAGGACGGAGGGGTGGTCCTTCCAGGTCATGGTGGGCACGGGCAGCCTTGGGAGGGTACCCTCGCCTGCAGGCAGCATTCAGGGGGGAGCGGGCTGACTCTCAGGCCCAGGGCTTGCTGGGCCTGGCCGTGAGTGGCCCCCACCCCCAGACACACTCTGCACCAGGGACCCCGGTCCTGTGGGCTCTCCTGGAGCTGAAGGTCCCCCTGGGGGCGCAGTTGGGGTCTTCCTTCTGGGAGTGTTGCCCTCAGGGAGGAGGGGGTGAGCAGATAAGGGCTGTGGGCAGGGGCCGCTGACCACATGATAGCCGGTTCCCGGAAGGCTGGGCCAAGCCTGTCCAGGAACGGAGGCTCCATTCGCCAGCTTCCCAGGCCTCCAGGTCTGCAGCTGTGAGTTCCCCTCGTTCCAGGAACCGAGGCGTGGACGCTCAGTGCCTGTGGGCCGTGGGCCGTGGGCTTGATACCGATCGCCTGATTTCAGAGCAGGCGGCCTGCACCTGCGCTGCCCCGGGTGCTGGGGGGCGTGCCTCTGTTAAAGCCGGGAGATCCTGCTGCCCCCGCCCCCCGTGTGGGGGCTGGGCGCGGCGGGGTCCTCCCTGTGCTGACCGCCCCTTTCTGTCTCCCCACGACCAGGTCCGGCCTCTTCGGCCTGCCCCCGTTGGCTCCGCTGACCCAGGCCCAGGACGCCCCTGTCAACGGCTGCCACGGCCCGCCCCCCGCGGAGGGAGACGCGGAGGCCATGCCCCTGGGGACGGGCCCGCTGGCGCCTGCCCATGGGGACCGGCCCCCCGAGACCGCCAACCCCGATCCGCCCCCGCCCCTGGTGCCGCCGCTGCCGGCCGGAAGCCTGCCCCCGTTCCCGCCCTACTTCGAAGGCGCCCCCTTCCCGCCCCCGCTCTGGCTGAGGAACACGTATCGGCAGTGGGTGCCGCAGCCGCCCCCCCGGGGCCTCAAGAGGACCCGCCGACGCCTGTCCCGCAACCGCGACCCTGGCCGCCTGGCCCTGAGCCCCATCCGCCTGCGGCCGAGACAAGTGCTCTGTGAGAAGTGCAAGAGCACCCAGAGCCCCCCGGAGGCCAGCCCCGGGCCGCCCGCCACGCCCCGGCCGCGCAGGGAGCCCCGCAAGCCCGAGGACCCCGACGGAGGAGGCGACGCGGCCTCCGCCCCCAAGCGGAGCCGGCGCGAGCGGCGGGAGGAGGCCCGGGCCGGGGTGCCACGGAGCCCGGCCATCAAGATTTCCTACAGCACGCCCCAGGGCACCGGGGAGGTGGTGGAGATCCCCCCGCGCGTGCACGGCTCCCTGGAGCCCTTCTGCCCGCCCCCGGCCTCACCCGGAGGCCCGGACCCCGAGGCTCCCAGGGACCGGCCGGCCGCGGGCGCCCCCACCTCCATCCCCAAGCTGAAGCTGACCCGGCCCCTGCCCCCTGGGGCCGCCCCGCCGCCCCCCAAGATCCGCCTGAAGCCGCGCCGGCTGGGGGCCGGCGAGCAGGAGCCCATCTACAGGGCCGAGCTGGTGCAGGAACTCAAGGGCCGAGGGCCCCCGGCCGAAGGTGCCGCCCACCGCGGCGGGCTGGCGGACTCGTCCTCCGCCAGCTCTGGCGAAGACGATGACTGCAAGGGGTGTCCCCGAGGGGCCCACGGGCCCGACGATGACGCCGGGCTGGCTTTCCTCGCCACCTGCCCCGGTAGAAGCGGCTGTGCCGGCGAGCTGGCGTGGAGCAGTGACAGCCTGGATGAGTCCAAGTCCTCCGGCTCGGACGCGACGTCGCTGGACGCCTGCGACTCCTCCCCCGGCGATGGCGTGTCTGTGCCCTCTTCCTCCAAGGGTGCGAGGCCCACGGTCCCGCCCCTGACGGTCAGGCTGCACACGCAGAGCGTCTCCAAGTGCGTTACTGAGGACGGGAGGACCGTGGCCGTAGGGGACATCGTGTGGGGTAAGGTTCACGGCTTCCCTTGGTGGCCGGCACGTGTCCTGGACATTAGTCTTAGCCAGAAGGAGGATGGGGAGCCCTCCTGGCAAGAAGCGAAAGTCTCGTGGTTTGGTTCTCCAACTACGTCATTTTTGTCTATCTCAAAACTGTCCCCTTTCTCTGAATTTTTCAAACTGAGATTTAACCGTAAGAAGAAGGGGATGTATCGGAAAGCTATCACAGAGGCTGCCAATGCCGCCCAGCACGTGGCCCCAGAAATAAGGGAGCTCTTAACCCAGTTCGAAACGTAACCCGTGTTCCCAGCCAGGTGAGTGTGCGCGTGGAGGGCTGCCTCTCTCCTGCTGCCCTGAGCTTGCGTCCGTGGCTGGGCCTCAGTGAGCCAGGGGTGAGGGATGCCGCTGGCCAGGCTGGCTTGCCGCTCTGAAACGGGTGGTCTTAAGATCATCCTGCTTGCTAGCAATGTCCCCCCAACGTCTTGGGTCACAGAAGAGGTGCTTTAAGAGCAGGCGAGTCGTCAGCCACCTGGGCAGAGAGCAGACCTAGTTTATATTTTGTGTCAAAGGCCGTGAAAGATCTGCTTGCTCTTCCATTTGCCTTTTGGAGAAAGGGGAGTGGTCCGGGGCAGCAGCTGTGGCTGACGGGTGGCTGGGGTGGGCGCAGGAGGGGCTTGCTGTGTCTCTCATTCCTTCCCAGACGGCCGGGGTGGTCTCCCTCCTGCCCTTCCCCCGCTGCAGGTGCATCCAAGGGTCCGACTTCGCAGGAAGGAGGAAGGTTGCTCAGCTGCCTTCCCCCAGAGGCGGTGCCTGTGGCCCAGCGGCCCTCTCCTGGTGCCAGGGGGGCTCCCCTTCATCAGCCGGTGTGTGGTGCCTGGGGCTTGCGGCTCCAGGCTCCTGGAGGGCGTCTGGGATCTGACCCAGACAGTGCCATGGCCTCTGTCTCCACCCCCGGGAGGACTCTGTGGGACCCCCGGCCGTGGCCCCACCTGGAGCCTCTGTGGGGCCGGGGTGTCCCCACGGGTGCAGCTGCGTGTCACCAGGCGGGGTGGGCCACTGTGTGGCCTGTCTGGTCCCCTTGTGGGCTGTCGGGAAACAGCGAGGGGCGGAGCCACGTGCTGTGAGCGCTCCTGGGGCCTGAGACACAGGGAGGTGGGGGTGCCAGCGTCTGATGCTGCCCAGCCCTGGGCCTGGCCAGCCCGTCCGAGGGCCAGCCCCTTCCTCTGCTGACTCCAGGCAGGTGTGGCCACCCGAGGCTCCAGGCCGCCTAGGTGGACCACAGTGGGCATGTCGGGGTCCCCAGTGGGGGGCAGCTCGTGGCCCCTTTCTGGCCCCAGGGCCTCGGGCCGGTGCCCCTGACGCAGTTGGGGTCTGTCTATCGTCTGTCCATCGAGGGCCTCTGCCCTCGTCTCCAGACCTTCGGGTGACCTCATCCGGCATGGCTCTCCTGCTCATCCACCTGTCTGTGCTGACTTCCTGGGCAAGGCCAGCCTTCGGGGCTGGGCAGGTCGGCCAGCCGGTGGCCAGGGAGGGGTTTGTGGAATGCTGGTGCTGCCTCCCTGCTGGGCCGGCTGCTGCGGGATCCCAGGACTGAAGAAGCAGGGACGAGGGGCGCGTCTGGGCTGCGGTCCCCCTCCCCCGTTCCTTGTGCTCCTGAGTGCTCCCAGGACTCCAGGCACAGGCTCCTCCCATGAACCCGGAACGTCTCCCATGGGTTCTGGCCTCAGTGTGGGGTGTGGGCGTGGCACCACCCTAGGGGCGTCAAGTCAGCGAGGGTCTCCAGTCAGGGCACCCCGTGGGGAGGGGCCCCGAGAAGGCCCAGATGCCCTGTCTCCCATCTCCCCGGCATCTCTCTGTTGTGGCCGCACCCCGCTGGCCTGGGGCAGTGGGTGGCTCACCCACACACCCTGTGAGAGAGAAGGCAGCCCCGTAGGTTCAGGGCTCGCTCTGTTTATCTGGAGGCAGAGGAGGAATCTCACCAGACAGGTTTGCCTGCTGCGGGGGCCTGGGTTCTGGGGCTCTGGGAGCTTGGTGGGGGGGTTGCTGAATCCTTTCAGCGCCAAAGCAAAGTGGTTTTGCTTGATGGGCTTTTGGGGTTTGTTTCTTGAGGATTAAAGACTGCACGGAGGTTTGTCCAGCCAGGTGGTTGGTCTGCTGGCGTCAACCAGCCGGGGTCTCGCGCTCGGGTGGGGTTGGTGGTCTTCCGGTGGGCACATTTGCTTTCAAGTGTCAAGTGTCAGGAGGGCAGCCTGTCTGGCCTGCTCTCTGAAGGGGAAACAGGGAGCCACCTTCGCTCGGGAAGGTGGGCTTCCCGGGCGAGCTGAGGGCGCTGGGGCAGGCCCAGGGGGTCCCCGCAGAAGCTGTGTGAGATGCGGGTGGGGTGCCCTGCGGCGGTGCTGGGGGGCCGGCCCGGGGCTGGGAGCTCGGCCGGGGGGCCTGCTGGGAAAGGCAGTCCTGTGGCCCCACGCTGCTCCCCAGCCCGGCCCAGGGCCCTGCCGTCCCTGGGGGCTGATGGAGGCCGTCCTGGGACGTGGGGTTTGGACTCAGGGGAGCCCCGCAGAGGGGGGGACACGTGCCCAGACCTCAACCCCTAGACACCCTGCCCCCTCGCAGGGCTGCTGGAGGCTCCGCCCACGTGAGCATCCTGAGAGCTGCCCAGCTGGTCTGGGGCCGGCAGCCAGGGTACTAGGGAGGTCGGCAGGTCCTGCCCCCAGCCCCGCGTGCCACAGCGGGGAATGGGCACCCAGCAGGAGCGGACGCAGCCCCTGGCCCCCCCACCCCACCCCCCCCCCCGTCTGAGCCCCAGCTTCCTGACTGTCTCAGGGTGGCAGCAGTGCATGCCCCCAGGTGAGGGTGGGTGAGCGGACCTGTGCACAGCAGCTGTCTGGCTCTGTACTCGGGCTCCTCCACGTCCCCTGCGTGGGGCAGGGCTGTGCTCCTGACTGATGGGCTGGGCAGCTCCTAGTGCCCACTGGTCAGGGGCGAGAGCCCCGCAAGTGTGACTGACGGGGGTGCCCCGAGGGCAGGGCAGGCCCCCCACCTGACAGGCGTGGCGTGAGCCCCTGGCCTCTTCCCTGCAGACCCCGTGGTCACAGCTTCCGTCCCCACCCGCACACCCACTGACCCACCCAGGACCAGATGCTCTGCGGGGGGAGGGCTGTGACTCACGTCCCCAGATTCACGTGTGATCACACACAGGAATGTGCTGAAAGGGGCCAAGGGCCTCCCCCAGAGTATCTGGTGAGGAAGCTGATTGGGACCGGGGCACTGGGAAGGCTTCCTGGAGGAGGTGACGTGCAGCCGGGATTAGAACAGGGAGCTCACAGGTGAAGATGAGCATTGGAGGCAGGAGGGAGCTGGGCCTGTCCCCGAGGGCAGGGAGAGACCGCCAGCGTGGGCCCACGGAGCCATGTGCCTCCCTCTCAGCCCAGAGGGAAATTCACAGGCTCCCCGTGAGCCGGGCAGCCCCGAGCGGCTGCTTCCCGCAGGCCGGAGCTTTCAGCGTCTCGCAGTGGTGCCTCCCTGGGCGGCTCCTGGCTTACTGAGAGGAGGGCACCCTGTGGCTTCCCAAGGCCCCTGTCCCAGACGACCTGTCTCAGGCCAGCGGGAAACGCAGGAACCTCTAGAGACCAAGCACGAGACCCAGGTTGTCTCCCCGGGGCTCCGGGGAGGGTCTTCCAGCCTCCCCCAGCTGCTGGGGGCTCGGGTGCCCCGGGCCCATGGCCTCACCAGCAGCCTCGCCGTCAGGGAGGCCGTGTCTGCCTCTCCCCACGAGGCCCTGGGAGGCGCCTTCCAGCCTCATCCGTGCTCTCAGAGTCCTCCTCTCGCCACCCCCGCCACGCCTTTCCCACAGCTCCAAGGGGGCGCCCTGTCGCCCACCACATCCTCTGTCCACTCAGCGGCCCCCGTGGGTGCGGGCGCAGCTTGCGACCCTGTCCGGCTGGGCTGGGGGTCCGGGGTGAGGACGGCTACCTGCCGCGCAGGGAGGCTGCGCACGCGGCCGGGGCCCCCGCAGCACTTTCAGCCTCTCGAGGTGGCTCTCCTGGGAACTGAAGACAGCGGCCAGGAAGCCAGCCCGGAAACGCTGCAGCCTGGCTCCTGGCGGCCACCCCACCTCGCCCCGCCGGAGCCGTGACGCGTGCCAGGTCACGCAGGCGGAGGCGGCCGGATCCTGTCCCCAGGCTCCGACTTCCTCCTGGGCTTCTCCCTTCCAGAGCTGTATCCGCGGGCAGGCTTGCAGTTCAGGCCAGTCGCTCAGTCGTGTCCACCTCTGTGCGACCCCCTGGGCTGCAGCACGCCAGGCCTCCCTGTCCATCACCAACTCCCGAAGAGGCGTTGCTGTCTCCCAACTCTGAATAAAAACGTGCCTCCACTTCTCAGCTGACTTCCGCCTGGCTTTCAGCGAGCTCAGGTTGTCTGCGAAGGTGGTAATTATTTTGTTCCAGAGAAAACTCTGGCCTGTGATTCGAGGCCTGGGCCCTGCCCCTCCTCACGGCCTCCCCAGGTGGGCGCCGGGCAGCACAGAACACAGGCCCGGGAGTGCAGACGCTCCTCTGGGGTCCCGGGGTCCCTGCTGGCCTCGGGAGGGCCTCCGGTCCGTGGCCCCCCCCCCCCCCGAGCCTGTGCCTTCAGGGACAACAGCGCCCCTCCTGTGGGCGCCTTAGCCTCAGCTGGCCAGGGTCCCCACGGACAGCTCCAAGTGCCTGTCCCTGTTCCCCCAGGGTCCGAAGTCCCTGGGCACACGGGCAGGGCTGACGCCAGCCCTGAGCTCTGCACCGCTGTGCCCAGGACCCAAGTGGGGCCCTTCGCGCGTGGAGGGGTCTCTGCCTGCCGGGAGGCCCTTCTGTCTACTGGCCCGATCTGCCCACTAGCCATAAGCAGCGCCAGTGGTCACCTGCAGACACGGTCTTCAGATGAGGGCCCAGGCCTTCCAGCTGATCAGGCGTCCGTGGTAAACAGGGCTGACCGCTTTCATCCAGGCTGATGACCCTTGATGCATCGCTGGCTGTGGGCTGCTCAGCCCGAGTCCACCTGAGAAGCACAGCCGTCCCTGGCCGCCGGCCTGGCTCTCTGCCAGGACACGGGATTCCGTCTCCGTGGCGTTTCTGGCCTAGGCCTGGGGTCCCCCATGTCCCAAGGGGCCCTGGGTCCTCTCTGAGGCATAGAGTCCACCCATCCTGCCTGGGTGAGGGATGCTGGTGGTGGGTCATGTTGTTCCCAGGTCGTTAATCGCCCTTTGCAGCTCACGGACCTGGAGCTACTTTCTTTCAGGAGAAAAGAAATGACTTCACACTGACTCTTCTCATTCAGATTTTTTTTACTTGTTTACCACTGTATCTGTATCTCTGCCCCCTGGTGCTGGAATCCTTGGTTCTTAGTGACATGAGCACAGTCATTTTACATGTGGAAGTTGACGCTTGTCTAGTGTTAATGTGCAGACTGCATCATACATGGAATCACTGGGGACAGGGAGGCCACCAGCTCGGCCGTGGCAATCTAGGGGAGCCTCAGGCCTTTTGTCCCTGGGGTCTGCCCTTCAGGGGACACGTCAGAGTCCTGTTTCCAAGTCATGGGGACAGGGCCTCCTATGGGGTTGTCATGACCTCAGACAGCGTTAGGGTCACTGATTCCATCTTTCTTTCCACCTCTGGAGATTTTGCACGTTCTGGTCAGTGTCTGTAATTCAGTGCACGTTTCGGAGGGTCCCCGCTCAGTCTGAGCGTCACCTGGGCTCCTCCGGGCCAACCCCGTCCTGCAGGCTGCCTTCTGCTGTGCTTGCTTGTCCTTCTGTGCTGATGATGGAAGCAGACACACAGAGGCACCGCCCGCTGGCTCTTGGCTCCAAGGGGTAAGGCAGCTGTGCCCGCTGGCTGCCACGGCCTCGTCGAGAAAGGAATCCTGAGCGCCCCAGGCACGGCCATGACCCCGACGGGCCCCAGACCTCGGGGTTCCCCGTGCCGGCATCCTCGTGTGTCACGGCTTCTTCACACCCAGTCCTGTTCTTTGCGGTCCTTTTGGGGTCGCCCCTTAGAGGAAATCAGCTCCTACACACTCAGACCCACACGCTGCCCGGCAATGCAGGGCTGCTCACGGAGGCCTGGGTGCTCTGCGCGGCCCGCCCCTGCCCACCCGATGCTGGGTTCATGGCGCTCTGCACGCTGGGCTGCGGCACCCTGTCCTGCAGGCGGGGAGACCGGGCCCCACGGAGGCACTTCCGTGTGCAGCAGGCAGCCCCGGCCTTCGGGAGGTGTGTCCGCCCGCTCAGCACCCGGGGCGACGGGGGGTGCTTCCCGTGGGGAGGGCGGGGCCTGGAGACAGGCTCTGGGCTGGTTGACTTCGGCCCGCTGTGTTTTAGGGTTGAGAACCCTGAGCTGGAGGCCTCCACACCTTGTCCCCATGACAGATCTGGACAGGCAGGGAGGCGCTGGCTGGAGGAAGGGGCTGCCTGGGTCTCTGGATGGGGAAGTGGGCCACAACGTGTCAACCCTCCGCGTGTCTCCACAGGGAAACAAACACAGCCTTCCAGGCTGCCCCCCGGGGAGCCGGCGCCCTGGGAACCGCCCCTTCCCCAGTTACCTGGCCGGCGTCTCACAGGACCTGGTGCAGCCTGCGTGTGGCTGAAGGGACCATGGGACCAAGCCGGGGTCTGGCCAGGCAGGTGCTCGGGGACCTGGCCGAGGCCTAGCTGGTCTCCACAGGGTTGGGGCCGTGGCCATGCCTTAGAGTCTGCTGAGCCGCGTGGGCGGGCGAGCCATGGCAGACGCCCTGTGCGTGGACGTAGAAGGCCGTGCGCCCGCCGAGCTGCCCTGGGCCACGATCTTAGGTGTCACGCGTGAGTCAGGCCACAGTCACCCCCCTGGGGGCTTCCTCCTGGGGAACCAGGAAGGTGAGCTTTTCCCTGGATGCCTGCCACGACCGTGTGCCCCTCCTGCAGTGTCTAAGTGGGGTGCGGGACAGCGGGGCTGGGGGCTGCCCAGGCTGTCATGGTGAAGGGACAGGGACCACCCCGCCCAGAGGGAACACCCCATTATTGAAGAGGGGTGGTGTCAGCCGGCAGGGGTCAGGGATGAGAGAAGCGACCTGAGGCCTTCCGAGAGCCGCCGGCCGGCGGCCTCAGGCAGGGAGGGTCAGACAGGGAGGCAGGACCTGACCCCCCGGGGCCTCCACATCCGAGTGGGGCTGCCCTGGAGCCTCGTGGGATGAGCAGCCGCGGTCGGGCAGGCGTCCGTGCATTTTGCTGCAACGCGGGCAGTGTGGTCGCTGCTCACAGACCTGAGCTGAGAGCAGCGACGGTGGCAGGAGGCACTCTCCCGAGTCGCCCCGCCCCTCGGGGACGCGGGCCACCGCAGGGTCATGTGCGTTTCTCTGTGCAGGTCCATCCCCGGGGTTTTACATTTTAGACAGGAATGGAGGAGGGCTTTGGTTCCTCGTCTACAGTAGGGTGATATGTTCCTGCGCACATCTCTCTTTGCTGAATTTTTTTTTTCCATGTATTTAGTGTTGGCCACGCTGGGTCTCTGTTGCTGCCCAGGCTTTTCTCCGGGTGTGCTGGGTGGGCCTCTCGTTGCCGGGGCTTCTCTTGTGGAGCACTGGCTCTCGGGCCCGCGGGCTCAGTGGTTGCAGCCCCGGCTCCAGAGCACAAGCTCAGGAGGTGTGGGGCGCAGGCTTGGCTCCTCTAGGCGTCTGGGACCTTCCTGGGCTCGGGTCTGAACTCGTGTCTCCTGCACTGGTGGGCAGATTCTTCACCTCCGAGCCACCGGCGAAGCCTCACTGAATTTTCATCTGTAGCAGTGTCACGTGGGCTTCCCTGGTAGCTCAGTTGGGAAAGAATCTGCCTGCAGTACAGGAGACCAGGTTCGATCCCTGGATCGGGAAGGTCCACTGGAGAAGGGAACAGCAAACCCGCTCCAGTACTCTTGCCTGGAAAATCCCATGGACAGAGGAGCCTGGCAGGCTGCAGTCCATGGGGTCGTGAGAGTTGGACACGACTTAGCGACTAAACCACCAACCAATGTTACATACATTCACGGTTTGAAAGCCCACTAGTAACATGAAGTGTATAATGAAAGGATTTCTCTCCACATTTCTACACTTATCCTACTTCTTGTTTCATGATTTCCCAACTTAAACATTCTTTATGGACAGATTTCCTGTGGAAAATGAAGATTTTGCAAACTTATAATCCCCCGCCCCCCTGCCACACATACACACAAGCATAGTTTCTGGTTAAATCAAGATTCGGTGCCGATATTAAAAATTGCAGCTTATCCACACAGGTGATTTTGGCACATTTAGTTTCTCTTCAGCTCGGTTCTCTGCAGACTTGCGTTTCCCTCACTGTGGGTGGTTCGTGTGCCATCACTGGGCCCCAGCGCTCTGAGAAGCGGAGACCTCAGCGCCCCGGAGTCGCCAAGCGCTTGTTACCCTTTATGACCGCCCTGTGAACAAACCTCTCCAAAACGTGGTGGCGTCAGACCCCACCACTTGGTCACGTCTCGTGATTCTGCGAGCCCCAGGACCGGCGTGTCAGCTGCATGGGGGTGTCCAAGGGGCTCCTCGCCCGAGGCCTGGGCTGGGGTGGCTGGCCCCCCACGCCCCACACACACACCCTGGGGCCCCTCCCCGGGGCAGGCTGGGCTTTCCTGCAGTGTGGCAGTCTCAGGGCCCTTGGGGCAGGCTGGGCTTTCCTGCAGTGTGGCAGTCTCAGGGCCCTCGGGGCAGCCCCGGCCCAGCCTGCCTCTTGTCCCCTTGCAGGAGCGAGACGTGGGCGGGGAGCCGCAGGGTGCGTGGCCCTCCTGTTCCTGCAGGGCCCGGGCTGCTGGGTACCTGGCCTCGCCCTCCCCCCCCTCCCAGGCTGCGCCCCATCCCGGAGCCTCCCGGGATGGCTGGAGGGCTGGAGGGCGGGGGCGCTGGTGGACACTCTCCCCGGTCTGCTGCACTCCGGGAGGCCCCCTCCCTGCAAGCCCCCTGCTTTCCTTGGTGGGGGGTTTGACCCTGAGACGCTGGCCCAAGGTGTCCACTGTCCCTGTGGCCAGGTTCACCTGCTCGACAACCGCCTGGTCCTCAGATGGGAGGCGGGGGCACATCAGGAGGCAGGGTGGAAGCCTGGGCTCCCCACCCGCTTGAGAAAGGATTTCCCTGTCCAAGGTCTGTTCCCCCCGGCCCCTGGGGGTCTCCTGAGCCAAGAGGGCTTGCCTCTGGTGGCTGGGGCTCCCGGCGAGGGGCATGTGTCTCCAGGGGTGCCAGTCACACCCACACTGGGGCTTCTGAGCCATCAGCTCCCCGAGAGCTCCAGCCCTGAGTGGCTGGAAGGTTCCAGAGTGGCTGGCCTCACTTCAGCCTCCCTGGGCCTGGCCCAAGGCTGGGGCTGCCAGACCAGCCTGTGGTCTGGGTCCCTGAGCCACGGAGGATCCCAGGCCTTCCCTGGGCAGGCAGGGTGGGCCCCAGGGTGCAGGGGTCGGGGGTCCTGCCCCAGGAGACGGGGCGGGGCACCATGGGAGGCAGGACCCCTGGACTGGTGGGAGCTGGGGGTGGGGGTCCCTGCGCGCCGCGGAGGCTGACGGACAGGCCCGGAAGCGGTCGGGGAGGGCACTCTGGCCTGGTGCTGGCCTCTCCCTTGCCGTGGATGCTGACAGGCGTCACTCTGTCCCTCTCCGCTTCCCCCCAGGTCACCAGCGCTGAGGGAAGAAGGGCTGTCCTCCCGCAGCTCCCGACTCGGGCCTTCGCGCCCCCGCCCCACCCGAGGACGCCGCGAGCCTCCTGGTTGGCCGGACGCGGAGACCCCGCCCTCGCGGCCGGCCAGGTTCCGCGTCTGCCCGAGAGGACTGAGCCCGCCCCGCGCACAGCGCTCCACTCGGCCAGATGTATTTATTCCCGCCGCACAGGCGTGAGCTCCTCTGGTTCCTACAGGCCGGGGCCCAGCCGGGAGGGCGGCTCCCGGGGCAGAGCGCCTGGGGGCAGGGCCGCCGGCACCTCCCTGTCGGCCCAGGCCGCCCCGCCTCCCGAGAACCTGACCCGGGCTCGCCTCCCGCCGGGCACGAAGGCCCCGCCCGTCCCAGGCTGCCGCTCTGCAGTCAGACTGCGCCGTGAAAAGAATAAACACCTCGCCTGTCGTTTCTAAGAGTCCGTTCCGTACCCCGTTTTGTCGCGTTAGAGACCAAAACGAAGAAAGATGAAGTCAGCTCTGCTCTTGGTTTAAATGCAGGAGAATAAAGAGACACCTGCGGAAGTCCCCTGGCTCAGGCAGGCCCGAGCTGTGTGCGGCCCTCGGGGCACTGACCCCCAGATGCCGGCGGCTCTGAGGCCCGTCCCTTCCTCCCTGGGGGCCGGGCCCCTGCCCTGGGCGCTGCCCCCCTCTTGGGGGGCTCTGGGCCCAGCCTCTCCTGGCCTCCCCAAGGCTTTCTGGCCGCACGACGTTTCTGGGGGGAAAGCGACAACTGAGGAGGTAGAGAGCTTTGCTCTGGCGAAAGCTCGGCCCCTGGTTTCCTGGTCTGCCTGCTGAGCTGAGTGGCATCCCGGAGTGGATGGCCGGCCTCTGTCTGCTCCTGGTGTTGCTCGCACGCTTGCGGTATGAGCCCGGCCCCCTCGAGCAGGACTACTCTGGGCCGGGCTGAGGGGCCTCCCTTCCCTGGGTGCCTGGGGCTCTGCGCTGACCCTTGGGTGCAGAGCAGCAGACCCTTCTCAGAGTCTTACAGGTCAAACCCCCAGGGGATCTGTTCCGGTCAAGGCCTTTCTACCCCGAGACCCTGCCCCCGGGAGCCATGGTGGGAGGGAAGCCTTGCGTGGACCCCGGGGGGCAGAGGAGCCGCTTTGGAGGAAGGGGGGTGGTGCACTCCTCAACTGCGCCCCCTCTCCGGGGAGCCCCCTTCCGGCCCCTGCCCTGGGGTCCCGTGGAGCCCAGGCCATGACTCGGGGCAGGGCCGCCCAGACCCTCTGCACTCATGGCTGCCCAGAGCAGTCGCCCACTTCAAGCCCAGCTCGGAGGCCTCGGTCCTGGAGAGCCCCCTTGGGTGCCCACCTTGGGTGAGAGACCTGGACTGGAGGAGGAAGTGCTGACTGACGCAGAGACAACCCGGGTGCTCTTTGTAAGCCAGGCTCCTTGGAGAGACACACGTCTCAAACAGAGTGCCCGGGACCCCGGTCACCGAGATGGACAGCCACGTGCAGCCTGTCCTGGGCACGTGCACTCCTGACCACCGGGCTGGGTCTCCCTGCGCGTCCCTGCAGGCCAGAGCGGTGGGACCAGCCCCCAAGGTCAAGAGCCAGGTTGGCCGCCAGCGCTGGGGGTCCGGAGCCCCTCGGTCGGGAAGAGGACCCAGGCAGCCCCCCGTCCTGCACTTGTCCCTGGACTGGCCCAGGCAGCGCCCTCTGGAGTCCGGCTGGGCTCTGGCAGACTGCAGCCCCGGCCCTGAGATGACCCTCAGGCTGGCGGGCCCCCGGTCCGTCGGCCATCCTGCTCCTGATGACCTGACGTCCCTGGTCCTGCTCAGGGCTCACCTGCCCTGGGCCGGGGCCTCTCCATTCCAGTGGCCGCAAGGGCCCCCTCCCGCCACCCCTGCCCCAAAGCCCAGGGCACCCGGGGTGGGGCTGCTGCACTGACGCCCCAGGAGGGCAGCTGGGCCCGGGGCTGAAGGGGAGCCGGTCCTGACTGTTCCTGCCCACAGCTTTGTCCCCCACCCCCGCTGGGGTGCCCCGTCCCTGGGCATGCAGGGACCAACAGCAGTTCTAATCGAAAGGGAAGGCAGCTTGGTTTTTTTGTTTTAAACCTTTGCAACTGTTTCTTTAAGCAGCAAATTAATCCTGTTTTCTCGTGGGTTAGATTTCATGGCTCCCCACCATGCCCGCCTGTCTGTGTGCCAGTCATTCTTCCAGGAGCCGAGAGTCGGGACCCACACCAAGAGCCCCCTCCCACAGTATCTGGGGTGCCCCCAGTGAGGCCGGAGCCTAAGCTCCGTCCCCCACCGGCCACACCCCCGAAAGGCTGGGCACAGTGGCTGCAGGAAGTGAGTGGGCCTCCCAGGGGAGGGGGTCCCTGGGAGAGCCGTCCCGGGGAGGCCTCCCTCGCTGGAGTGGGTGAAAAAGGCTCCCTGGGGCAGGAAGGGCTGGGCAGGGCCCGAGGGAGCCCCCGGGGGCCCTTCTGGCTCCAGCTCCAGCTTCCCACAGACCCGTCGCAGGAGCTGGTCTGCTCAGAGGACCAGCCGGCCGGGCCTCCCCTGTGGACGGGGCGCTGACGTCTGGCCTTCAAGGGGACTGGGGGGCGGTGAGTGTGGCCCCAGGAGCCTGTCAGGCCCGGTGTGTAACTTCCTGGGGCTCGGCCACCCCCTGGCCCTTGCGGCCTCTGGTTCCACGGTCCCTCCGGGCCCCCAGCAGCCAGCTCGCCCTCCGGTCACGGCCACAGACACCCCGCTCCCCTGGGAGGAAGGTGCAGGTCAGCACTTGCTGTGGAGCCGGTGGCCGGGGAGGACGGGAGGGGGGAGGTGACAGGTGTGCAGGGGTGAGCTCGGCTCTGTCACCCAGCCCCCCCGGCCCCGTTCCTCCAAAGGGTGGGGCTCACACCCCCTCCAGGCTGGCCTCGGGGTGCGGGCGTCTGCCTCCTCCTCACCGCCCACTCGAGGTCTTCTGGCCAGATAGCCCATCTCGCCTACCCACCCAGTCACAGCAGCCTGAGTCCCCAGCTCCCAACCCACAGCTCCGAAGCTAGAGCAGCTGAGGAGCTTGCACTGGGGCCCTAACACCAGGGGCAGGGCCCACGGGGGCTCCTGGGCCTGGGCTCTGGGGTCTCCCTAAGTGTGGGCATTTCTGGGCTGGACCCGCCTCAAGCAGAAGAAAAGTAGAGAGGCAGGACCCAGGCCTTGGTGGCCTGGCCGCCAGCGCCTTGGGCTGACAGCTTAGTTCTGCATGCCCTGTGTCCTTCTAGAAGGAGGGGACGTGGTGGAGGCTGTGGAGGGGGGTCTGGGGGCTGGGGGGGCTTCCCTGGGATAGAAAGGAGCCCTCGGATGGAGAAGTTGCTGAGCGGGCCTCCACGGGCCCCTGCTCAGGCTGGCCAGAGGTCGTGAAGCCCCGCAGATCCCCTCTGGTCCTCCCGTCATGGTGCCACTCCCCCTGTTTCCATGGCAACCTGGGAATGGGAGGACCACGGCTATCCCATACTTCAGGTGGGACCTGGGCCCGCTTTGCTAGGCCAGGGGGATGCTGAAGGCGCCTGGGGAGCCTTCAAGTCCTTGAAGGTCCTCTAGGGGAGCAGCCTCCCCTTGCCCCACTGCCTGCCAGGGAGGCCGACGTCCTCTCCAGCCCTCGGAACCCCTTGGCGTCTGTGACCTGGCCACGCAGGGCGTTGTGATTCTGGACATAGACCCGAACCCTAAGGAGGCCTGGGCTTCCCGGTGGGGGCCAGCCCGGGCATCTGGGGTGATGGGATGGGGCTCTTGGCCCCTGGGATGACCAACGTCTGTGCCCCCTCCCCTGCACTGCCCATAAAGCACACAACACAGGGCCCCCTCCTGCCACCTGCCAGGCTGCTCTTGGGTGGGAGTGAGGGACAGAGCCCTCACTGTGGGCCTGCAAGTCACCACGAGTGGCCCCATCTCACGGCTGGGGCTGCAGGGGCGGCAGGGGCTGGGGCATCCCAGGGGTTCCCTAGCCCTGTCGGCGGGCTTAAAGGCCCTTCTGCTGTGGTGTGGTCCCCCTGCCGCACCAGGAGCTCTCCCTGTTCTGCAAGGCTTTTCTTCTTCTGATTACAAAATAGCCTCTGTTGGTGGCAGAGAGTTAGTAAAATAAAGAAAAGCAGAGAAGATGAGAGTCTCCTGCAGCCTCCCGCCCCCGTGGGCCTGCTGTGTGTGTCTCCCTGCGTGACCCTCCTGGGCATTAGCAGATGCTGGCCCTGCCTTCCTGGCCTCCTGCCACCCTGGAGGCTCTGCCCGACACTCCCGCTTCGCCCTCCCCTGCCCCAGGGCTCCCCCGCTGCCCGCTTCCTGCCTCGGGCCAGGGGTGTGTCCGGCGGGCACCTCCGCGCTCCAAAATGCTGAGCAGGAGTGGTCAGTGGTGTGCAACGGGGACTAAAGGCAGCCTCTGCTGGACCCTGTCCCCCAGGCCCCCAGCACCCACGGCCTCCCGCGGGGAAGGGAGCTGGGTTCTGTCCTGGCCATCACCAGGCTGAGATGAGGAATGAAGGTGGGGGACACGAGGGGGAGGCGGAAACTAGGGTGCACGGCCGCTCTGCTGGCCCACGGGGCCCCTTCCCTGGCCTGAGTGGCCATTGTCTGCCAGGGGACCTTGTTCGTTCCTATGCAGCACCCCCAGAACCCGAGGACACCCCCAGGCTGGAGCCCCTCAGTCCCCAGGGGAAGGCAGGGGCTGGGCTGGGGTGGGCTGTGGCAGCCCCTCGCCCAGCCTCGGATTGGAGGCGTTGCAGCGGACCCTTCGTGGTGGCCCGCCCAGGCCCCATGTCCAGCCAGCCGCACGGTCCCCAGGGCCTCGCTTCCTGCCCCGCCCCCGGGAGGCGTCCTGCAGGCTGGTGTATTTTTAGCTCCGCCTGATGCCAGGACTGCCTTTCACCTCGGAGATCAGAGGCCTTGGGCAGTGGCCAGTGCCCTTGACCCCGTGCTTTTTCGACTGGTCAGGCACGGGGAGGCAGAGCCCAGAGACTCCTTCCTTCCTGGTGTGGCTGAGGGTGGGGGCCCAGGGGCCCGGGAGCCCCAAGAGGCATGGGGCTCGAGCTTCACTGTTCAGACGCGTTCTTCAGTAAAGCGAGGCTGAGGCCTGAGCCAGTGGACCGGGCCCCCCCCTCCTGGGGGTGCAGGTTTTGGGGGGGCGGGAGTGGGGAGCCGGTCGGCTCAGGCTGCCTTACAAAGTCCCGTGGACGCTTACTAACACTCCTGACAGTGTGGAGGCTGGCAGTCCCAGGTCAGGGCGCCGGCTGACCTGGCCTTTTTGGTGGGTCCACGCTGGTTCTTACACGCCTTCTGTATGGCTGGGAGCCTGGTCTCCCCCGGGAAGGACAGTCACACATGGTGGGGGTCTCATCCTCATGAGCCTCTAAACTGAGTCATCCCGAAGGCTCATCTCCAACATGGGCGAGGTGGGGATTATACTTCAGCACATCGACTTGGGGGTGTGGACATGGGGAAGCAGGTGGGGTGGGTGTCAGCTGGGCCTCCGGGAACAGCTAGGAAGGGGTCAGGAGGAAAAGTGAGTGCTGGGGGTCTTGAGGGACAGGAAGCACTCTGATCAGACCTGGGCCTAACCTGCCCAGCACTGGCGGGGTGGGGGAGGGCAGTGGGGAGGAGTGGGGCGGGGGGAGGGGAAGTGTTGGGGGAGGGGTGGGGAAGGTGGGGAGGGGGTGGGGAGGGTCAGTGTGGGGGAGAGGCGGGGGAGGGGCAGGGGAGGTCAGTGGGGGGGAGGGGAGGGGGAGGGGAAGAGTGGGGGAGGGGCAGTGTAGGGGGAGGGGAAGTGGGGAGGGCAGAACCCGGAGGGCTGGGCGCAGGAAGTCCTCGGGAGAGAGGGGTGGGGTCTCAGATGAGAGTGGGGAGTCAGGGTGGAGGGTGGGGGGTGGGCTGGGGTCAGGGAGAGCCTGCCCTCACTGCTGCTCTCGCACGGCCCCGGGCCTGGGCGGTGGAGCGCCATGTCGCCTATAAGGGAAGGCTGGGGGCCTGCCTGCTTTGGGGAGAAAGGCTTGCAAGTCTCCACCGACTCTGTTGGCCCTCCCCTTCCTGCCCCCAAGGGTTCTGGTGGAAGCAGGAGGGGACAGGCCCTGACAGGCGCCTCCGGGCCAGATGGAGCCCCGTGTGGGCAGGGCGGGGGTGGGGCCCCTGCAGTGACAGTCACCCCGCCCCGATTCCCTGGTCTGGACGCAGCTTTAAGCACGGAGCTCCTCGTGGCCCTTAGCAATGAAGAGAATGGGGGAGCTGTCTGGGGGTCCCCTTGGGTTTTCAGGGTGAGGACTCATGGCAGCGTGGGGCAGGTGTCAGGAAGCCGTCCTGTCCATCTTGACCCCCAGGGAGCAGCGTCTCCAGAAACCAGATTTGTGGACACGGCTCTTGTCCCATCAGAGCTCCCATCACAGAGTGAGTTCAGTGGTTCTAGAACCTTCACAGGACTGTGCCACAGTCGGTTCTAGAGCCTTCCGTCACCCTGCCTCAGCCGTCACGCCGACCGCAGCCCGGTCCCCCAGAGCTGTAACCCGAGCACCGTCCACGGGGAGTCGTCCGGCGTGGACGCTCACACGGGCGGGTCACACACTGTGGCCCTGGCTCCCGGCTCCCCCACGGAGGGTGGAGCTTCCAGCCCCCGAGTCAGCTGCCCTGGGGCTCCGCTCCCCGCGCGGGTTGCTCCACGGCTCGGACAAGCCACGCTCCCCCGTCCCGTCCCCTGCTGCCCTGTCGCTGCTGTGGACTCACCGTGCCGTCAGGACGGCGTGCGTTCCCGTCTCTCCTGAGCGCGTGGGGTCCCTCCCTGCTGGGGTTCTCAGGCTCAGGTGACTTGCTGGGACCCTGCTCCCAGCTCTAGGGTGAGACGCGGGGCTTCTGGCCTGTGGTCCAGTGGTGGCCCCCCTGCCTGCCCCCAGGGGTCTGCGCCCTGCCCACGCCCAGTGGCTGCAGAGAGGGTGGTCGGCAGGGGGCTCCAGGAGGGAGGCGCATCGCCCCGACCGGTCTCCTGACAGAGGGTGTGCTGCTCAGACACGCCTTCCCTGTCGTCTGTCCCAGGTGGATGCGCCAGTCCTCAGGACGGTCCAGCCAGCGGGTGGGGCCTTCTGGCCATCACGGATCATCCCACCGATGCCCAGGAGGAGAGAGGCTAGGCAGTGAGGGTCCCTCCACAGCCAGCCCCATCCCGCTGGCCTGGTGCCGAAGGGCCCTGCCCGAGCAGGGGTGACCCTGCCGGTGCAAGGGGGGTCCACCCCACCAGCACCGCTTTTCTCTGACCGGGTTTTCATTGCACCTGCCTTCCTGGTGAGCCCCCTGCCTGGATGGCCCGTCCATGCCTCCCTGGCGCTTTGAGGGGCTGCGTAAAACTCTCAGGGACCTTGCGAGTGTGTTTGCGGGGACACGGGTGCACCCCTGCCCCAGGATCTCCTATGGCAGCTTAGTTTCTGCGCAGGACCCTTCCTCGCAGTAGAAAAGGGCTGTGAAGGTGCCATGTGGTTATTCCACGCAGCGACGCTCCGCTCACTGGAGACCTTTCCTGCAAACAGCCATCACTCTGCGCTCAGCCCTGGAGGAACCCTTGCTTTCTGGGTCACATGCTATGCGTTTTCCCCTGAGGTATTTCATGTGTTAAGTTCTGGGTTCAAACACATTAGCTCTCAAGCAGACTAAGTCGTTTCGATCCAGTTTAACAATAACTAAATTTGGCTTTGAAATTTTAAAGCAGAAAAAATTCCTGCTGGAACTCTGCATCTAAAGAGGCTACAGGGACGATCTTTCACAAGAAGGTATCTCTCTTCCTCTAGGTGTCCGTGGTTGGGTTAGTATTTCCTGGGGGTGGATGCTGTTCCACCCACCAGAGGAGCTTCTAGAACATAGGCAGACATGATACACTGATGCAGACATTCAAATACTCTCTCTTCAGAAATGACTTTTTGGGTTTAATTCCTTTGAATGTTCTGGCTGAGATTAAGCCACAAGTGCCTTCAGAGCAGAAAGAGCTGCATAAGAATTCAGATCTGTCTGCAAAGCTGGGAATGGAAGCACTGGGTGAGGCCTGGTGAGGGAGGGCCGTGAACGCAGACGTGCGTGCACGTGCATCAGCCATGTCGACACAGAATTGCACTTTCAGCATGATCATTCCTTCTTGCAGGCCACCGCCAAGGTGCCCACCGTCTGAAACCATCCCTGACCATGGAGCTCAGTTCGGCAGTGGTCCCCAGGAGGCCAGCTGTGAGGGGAGGCCTGAGCCTGAACCAGGAATGCTTTCCCCAGGTTCCGAGGCTCTAAGGGGGCCCCTGTGGTAACCTGGGGATAACTTTTCATATTTAATAAACTTTTAAAAATTGATAGACTTTAGGGAATTCCCTAGAGGTCCAGTGGTTAGGATTCGAGGCTTTCACTGCTGAGGGTGAGGGTTCAATCCCTGATTGGGGAATTAAGACTCCACAAGCTACACAGTGCAATAAAATAATAATAATAATAATATGCTTTGTGTTTTAGAGCAGTTTTAAGTTTCTAGAAAAATTGGGCAGAGGGTAGGAGCAGGCCCATCCCCCCACTGTGCAACCTTGTTGCTCATACCTGGCTGGGGGGGGCGGGGTACATGTGTTACTACTGGTGAGCCAACTTGGATACATTATTATTAATCAAGTCCATAGTTCAGGTGAAGCCTGGATCTTTGAGTCCATGGGTTCTGAGAAACGCAGGTGATGTGCTCACATTACACACAGAATCATTCATTCCACTGCCGGAAAAATCCCGTGTGCTGCGCTGCTCACTAATGTTTTCAGCGAGTAAAGACAGATGCTGTCTAGGCTGGTCATAGCTTTTCTTCCAAGGAGCAAGTGTCTTTTAATTTCATGGCTGCAGTCATCATCTCCAGTGATTTTGGAGCCCAAGAAGATAAAGTCTCTCACTGTTCCCATTGTTTCCCCATCTATTTGCCATGAAGTGATGAGACCGGATGCCATGACCAACCTAGACAGCATATTAAAAATCAGAGACATTACTTTGCCAACAAAGGTCCCGTCTAGTCAAAGCTGTGGTTTTTCCAGTAGTCATGTATGGACGTGAGAGTTGGACTATAAAGAAAGCTGAGCACCGAAGAATGCATGCTTTTGAATTGTGGTGTTGGAGAAGACTCTTGAGAGTCCCTTGGACTGCAAGGAGGTCCAACTAGTCCATCCTAAAGGAAATCAGTCCTGAATATTCAATGAAAGGACTGATGCTGAAGCTGAAACTCCAATACTTTGGCCACCTGAAGCGAAGAACTGACTCATTGGAAAAGACCCTGATGCTGGGAAAGACTGAAGGCAGGAGGAGAAGGGGTGACAGAGGATGAGATGGCATCACCGACTTGGTGGACATGAGTTTGAGCAAGCTCCAAGTGATGGTGCTGGATAGGGAGGCCTGCAGTCCATGGGGTCTCAAAGAGTCAGACACGACTGAGTGACTGAACTGAACTGACCTGAAAGACACATAGGATTACAAAGGAGACCAGTTATTTTGAAATAATTATCAAAATATTAAAGTGATGCCCGGGCCCCCTGCTGACCTGGGTGAGGAAGTGGGAGCCGACGGTACAGAGGTTCAGGACGGGGTGAGGGTGGAGCCTCGGGTTTCCTGGTGGAGGCAGAGCCGGGGCACCAAGGACAGACGCTCCTGGAGAAGCTCAGAGGTCAGCAAGACTGAAGATGTCATTTGCTCCCGTCCAAGTTCACAGACCCCTGGACTGAGGATCCCTGCCCCTGGAAAAACAGCAGAAGCTGGTGAACCCCGAGAACACGGGCCAGTGGGAATAGAAAATGTGCTTTCAGAACCAAATCTCTGTTGCTTTTGGAATCACCATCTCGACAAGTAGCCAAGTGGGTCTCACGTTTCTCTGTTTGCATAGCTGGCTCCCGGCAAATTCAATTATCTCGCGTTGACAGAAAATGGGTTAATTAGGAGAAGTCGATCAGGCTTGGCAGGAGAGAGCTTGAGTAGCGCCCCGCCACACCTCAGGCACCCAGCCGTGGGATTGGAGAGCTGCTGCCGGAGCTGGGGGGGGCCGCAGGGCCCCGAGCCGCCCCCAGGGGCCCTGCCCCAGAGCGCCCTGTCACTGCGACTCCCGGAGCGCCAGGCACCCGGATAAATGGGGCCATGCCAGCTCAGGGCAGGCGTGGCCGGGCCTGGGCACATGGGCTGTGGGGATGGACATGCCGGCGCGGGGGTCAGGCGGCGGCGCCTTCGGGGCTTCTGGGAGGAGTCCATTGGGCGGGACAGACGAGCCTCCAGACGGCAGCCTTTCGAGCATGGTGGCCCTGTGGGCAGCATCCCCGGGTGCTCAGGGCCTCCACCCACTGCCCCGGGGCTGGATGGGGGCCAAGGCGCCCCGGGACTGGCTGGGGGCCAAGGCGGCGGGCTCCCCAATCCCTCCACTGCTGTGGGAGTGGGGGGCTGGGCCGGCCTGCCCAGGCCCCTGCAGTCAGGCTACCACTTGTGTGGTGGGCGACCTGGGCCCCAGGGGCCAGACACCCAGCCTCTCACCCTCCCTTAGGGGTGGCAGCCACTATCCACATGGCATCTGGCTCTGGGCTGGCGGGCAGGCTGTGATGGAGGCGCCCCTGGGAGAAGCCGGGGCCCACCAGGCTTTCCTTGGGGGCTCTTCTGAGCACCCGCCTGCCCCCACTCCTGCCTCAAGGCGGGCCTGACAAAGGTGGTCCCACTTGCCAGTCAGCAGGTGTCCTAGCCAGCCAGGCCCCCAGGGGATGGGTCTTCTGAGTGAGGGGTTCCTTCCGGGGTCCGAGTGGATCCTACCGCGCTTCTGCGTGTCTGTACGATGGCAGGGTGGCCTCGGCCACCAGGCGCCCTCCTCCCGGAGGGTGGGCTCCACACTCAGCGTCTCACCCGCAGCCTGATGTCCTCAGAGACGTGTGGAGGGTGCCCTCCGCACATCGGGCCGGACCGGGGCCTCTCCTTCCCCCGACCCTGCCCTGCCTGGCCTCCGTCAGCATGTGGACCCCCAGGGTGCGTGGGGGCCGATGGGGGCCCACTGCCAACGTGGGTCTTGGAGGTGGTCCCTCATCTGGTCCCAGCGCTGCCCTGGAAACCGGCTCCAGTCCCCACCCTCCATCCCTAGAGGGGCCCTGCTCATGGAGGTCAGACCCGCGACGAGCCGGGACTCCCCAGCTCCGTGGTCCCTGCCCCACCCCTTCAGCTGGGCCACTGGACTGTCAGCCGCTTGCTCCTAGCAGTGCTCTGTCTCCAGGAGAGCAGCCTCCTCGGGAAGACCTTCTGCTGCGGGGACGTGGGCTGGGCAGCCTGGGTAGGGCGGGGCGGGAGGGGGTGAGTGCCCAGGGCCTTGGGCTCCCGGGTCCCTGGCGGGCTGGGCCGGCCTCCCCACAGCAATCTCGGGGCCTGCCCCCTGCCCGCCAGGCCCCTTCCGCTCATGGGCTTCTCACCTGCCAGCAGCCTGTGCCCACCTGCAGCCCAAGTTCCAGGCGGGCTCCGGGGGCTTGTCTGGTGCACACTGGAGGCCCTGGAGACAGTGACAGCGTTTCCTAGGAAACCGCAGCCAGACAGCTGCAGGGCCGCTGGCCTGTGGGGGCGGGGCGGGGCCGTGTCTGGTGCGGGCAGGGGACCCCAGGCTGGAGGGGGTGTGGGCGCCCGGTCCTCCCCACGGCGGGCGACCGGGGCCTGCCCTGATCCCCTCCTCAGGGCAGGTGTGTCCCTGCAGAGTGTGAGCCTGGATGTTGTGTTGTGTGTGTGCAGGTCTGTGTGGGGTGTCTGCATGAGCCTGTGTGATGGTGGGTCCCCGTGGAACATCCGTGCATCCCGGCTCTGCGGGCGTGTCTTGGGGTGTCTGAATGTGGGTGTGGGTCGTGGCTACGTCTCTTCGGGCCTGGGTTCAGGCAGCAGCCTCAGGCACCAGCATCAGGCCCACCCCCCTCCCCACCTGACCGGCAGAGGCCTCGGGCCCCCCACCCTCGCCTGTTGGAAAGAGCAGCAGGGCCGTCCCGCCTGGCCCGAGAGAGTGGCCCTCTGTGGCGGGGTGGCTGGAGGAGAGAAGCTTGGGGGGCGGGCGAGGACTGAGCTGCTTGTCAGAAGGAGGTGGAAGGTGCCTGCGGACCCAAGTGGTCTTGGAAGCCCCCTGCCCGCAGCTTCCCGCCGGCCACTCCCTGCCCCGTCCCTGCCCAGCCTCCCCTGGCCCATGGCTGGTTGAGGTCGCACGCTCAGAGCCTGGAGAGCCCAGCTCCTGGGGCCACCACAGGCAGAGCTGGGCACAGCTGTCCCTGGGGGTCCTTTCGGCCCCTAGATTGTGCAGAGAGGTCAGTGACTTCCAGTCTGCCTACCCTTGGGGGCCCCCAGAGGAGCGGGTGTCTCCTCACAGGGAACCCACCACCCCTCCCTGGGGCTCCAGGCAGGGCACAGCGTTGCTCGGAAACCGGAGGCCCCGAGGCCTCAGAGCCTGCACCTCATTAATTCATTCATTCCTTCCTCCGACCACCCCTCCAGCCCCTGGGGCCCCAGTCCCCAGGAGAGGGCAGGGCACCCAGAGCAGCCCAGAGCAGCCCAGAGCCCGCATCTCATTCATCCATTCATTTGTTCATCCTATCACCTCTCCAGCCCCTGGGGCCCCAGGCCCCAGGAGAGCGCAGGGCACCTGGGGTGGCTCAGAGCCTGCACCTCATTCATTCGTTCAGTTGTCCAATCACCCCTCCAGCCCCTGGGGGCCCCAGGCCCCAGGAGAGCGCAGGGCACCTGGGGTGGCCGCTGGCTCCTCGGCTGTCAGCCCCAGACATGCTTCTCTGAGGGTGGGACTTCGGGGGAAGCGCCTTGGGAGGCAGGAATCAGCCCTCTCTGGGAATCGCAGGGACTTCCTGGAGGAGGCAGGCTTCAGGCTGCCGCTGAAGCAGTGGTGGGAGGTAGCTCGGTGAGGCTGGCTCTAAGGAGGGGCAGATTGGCTCAGCCAGAGTGTGGGGCCGGGGGGGGGGGTCCTCTCAATCCTGCCCAGACGTGGTCCTGCATGAGAACGTGCGGGTGGAGGTGAGTCAGGCCGAGGCGTGGGCATCTGGGCCCTGGAGGAGCATGGCCTGGGCCTGGGGGTGGGGGGCAGGGTCTGGGGGGTCTGCGGGTGGGGCTGCCCTGGCAGCTGTGAGTGTGGGCTGGGGCAGAACTGGGGGCCTCCCTGGGGGTGAGCAGCGTGGGGCGGCTGACAGGGGCTCACCCAGCCCAGGAGTGAACGCGGGCGGCCCCAGGTGCCCCGTCACCCCCATCCTGAGGTCTACCCAGGTGGGCGGTGGTGAGGGGGTGCTGGCCCTAGCTCCCGTGGTCACTAAAGCAAGTACCCGTGGCCTCTGCTCCCACTCCCTACTCCAGGAAGCAGCCCAGCAAGAGCCCCCATCCCCTAGGCGTGTGGATGGGGCAGAGCAGGGAGGCCCTGCCAGCCCCAGCCCCAGCCGGCGGCCCCCCAGAGGACCTAGACCCCCAAGGATAGGGATCAGCCCCGAGGCCAGGGCTGGGGTGCTCTGAGGGGTCCCCTGTGCTGGGTGCACAGAGACAGTGGCCCCAGGGAGCCCCCCGGACAGCAGAGGTGTGGCCACGGCCCTGAGTCCACCCCCAGAGAGAAGGGCTGTGGGGTGGAGAGAGCCGAGCAGGGCAGAGGGGTCCCGGCCGGGGCGGGGGGGGCAGGCAGCCTCTCCTTTGGGCCTGCCTCTGTCCAGCGGGCTCCCCACCCCTGCACCCCACCCCCAATGCTCAGCTCTCATGGTGCGGCCCAGTCCCTGAGGGCCCCAATATATGGATTTTCCTCTTTGCTAATTGGAATCTGTCTGCCTGCAGGAATTAAACACGCCGGCTTCCCAGTCAGCATTGTAACCAGCGCATTTCCCCCTTTGAGCCGGGCGGGGGCGAGGACAAGCAGGAGACCGCCGGCAGCAGACCGACTGAGAGACCCCCGCGGCCGCCCCCTCTCTGCAGCCCCTCACCCCTGCCCGGGCCCCGGGGGGTGGTCCTCCCATCCGGCCTCACGGAGGACTCTGGGCCCGGAGGCGACGGCAGGCTTGCCTCCCGCTCACTGCCAGCTCCGTCTGGGCGAGAGGGCGGTGCGGCTCCTTACGTAATTGTTCTCGAGTCTAATTTAGCACGAGTCCTCTTGGGCTCCAGAAGCCACAGCACCACCAGTCCTCTGCCAGCATGGGGGTGGGGGTGCGGTGGGGCACAGCGCTTGGCCTCTGTTCAAGTTAATTTAGCCCCTGGGACGCAGCAGAGCCACAAAGCCAGGTGGCGGAGGGCCTGTAGGACTCGGGCCCAAGGCTGGGAGCCCGCACGGGGTGGGGCGGGCGGGTGGTCGGGCCCCGGCTGTGGGTGCTGTGAGCAAGCTGGGAGGGGGCCCTGGTCCGTCCCGGCTCAAGCGCAGGCCCCCAGCGGCCAGCCAGGGCCGGTCAGGGCCGGTCAGGGCTCAGCGCGTGGCCCCGCTGGAGCCTGGGCGGTCAAGCGCCAGCGCAGATGCGGCAGCCAGGGAGGAGGCTGCCCTCCACTGAAAGCCGCAGCCCCCGCGTCTCCTCTCACACAGAGCGCGTCCTGCATCAGACGTCCGCCGGCATCCTGCAGTTCGATCGGATTCTGACACTGGCTGGTTTGTGCAGACCCTGTGCGGTGAGGGCTCAGTCCCAAGAGACTGTCCCCCACTTCAGCCCCAAGTACCAGGTCCCCAGGTTACCCACAGCATCTGCCCATTGTGGCTACAAATCAAGGGTTCCCTTGACCCTCTCTCCAGATTTAGCCATTTGCTAGAGAGTTGGACCATAAAGAAAGCTGAGCGCCGAAGAATTGATGCTTTTGAACTGTGGTGTTGGAGAAGACTCTTGAGAGTCCCTTGGACTGCAAGGGGCTACAACCAGTCCATCCTGAAGGAAATCAGTCCTGAATATTCATTGGAAGGACGGATGCTGAAGCTGAAGTTCCAATACTTTGGCCACCTGATGCGAAGAACTGACTCATTGGAAAAGACCCTGATGCTGGGAAAGACTGAAGGCGGGAGGAGAAGGGGGTGACAGAGGATGAGATGGTTGGATGGCATCACCGACTTGATGTACATGAGTCTGAGCAAACTTTGGGAGTTGGTGATGGACAGGGAGGCCATGGGGTCGCAAAGAGTCGGACAGGACTGAGCGACTGACTGGGACTGGCGGGCAGAACCCGGGGGAGTGCTTGCTTTGGCCCACGAGTGTGTCACGGCATGAAGGGCACGATGGACAGCCAGAGGCAGTGGTGTTTGGGGGGAGGTCTGGGGGAGTCCCACACGCAGGAGCATCTGTCCCCGTGGAGCGGGGTGTGTCCCCGCTCGGTATGTGGAGGTGTCCACCCACCTGGACTCTAAAGCCCGTACCTTAGAGATTTCTACTGAGGCTTCATCACATTGGAGTGACTGAGCATTGTCAGTCCCTGTCCTGGAGGGGGGCTGGAGGGTGGGCGTGGGGTCCAGAGGACAGTTCTAGCTCCTAACCACGGCTTGGTCATTCTGGTGACCAGCTCCCACCCAGGAGCCCACCCAGACTCACCTCATTAGGACAAATGACACTCTTGTCACCCAGGAACTTACAAGGGATTAAGTAGGTCCGCAGCGGGAACTGGGGGCAGAGGCCAGCACTTATCTCTTCTGTATTTTGCACCCTCCAGCCTGCAGTGGGCCCCATCCAATCCCCAATCCATTGCAGAACACAAGAGGAAAAGGCCGCCCTTCCCCTTGGGAAGACAGAGCCCTTCCTGGGGTCTGCCCGCTGCTGGCCAGCCCTGCAGATTCCAGCCCTGCGGGCCTCGCAGCGTGTGGGGCTCCTTAAAACAGAGCTCTCCTCCATGCACCCCACCCCGCGGCCACGCACTCGGCTGGTTCTGTGCCCTGCGGCATCCTGGCCAGCAGGAGCTCTGCCGTGACACTGGGGCGGGGCCTTCCTGGCAGGGCCCGCAGACGCCCCCCACCTCCCTGCGTCCCCCGCAGAGGCCCCCTCCCACCTCCCTGGGTCTCCCCGTCCCTCTCCGCCCTGGGTCTGGTTCCTGGGGCTCAGCATGGAGAGATACTGCGAGGCTCAGTGTTGGGCGGGGCCGAGGGCAGGGAGGGCCGTGGGAGAGGAACGCCAGATGAAATACAGATGCTTGGTTCAGTGTGAAGTTCGGATAAAGGAGACGGATTTATGCTGGAGTGGTGTCTTGTTAATCGGGAATTCAGATGTCACTTTGCCTGAACTTTGCTGCCCGAGGTGGGAGCCTCCCAGGTGGTCACCGGCACCCTGTGTTTCTTGTCAGCGTCCGGCCTGGCCGTGTCCACTCTGCCCTCCCCCAGGCCTGCCTGCCCCGGCCCCTCCCCCAGGACAGGGCAGTCTGGGGAGGGGCTGGACCCAGTCCCCACTGAGGGCCTTCTCAGCAAGAGGGGCAGTGCTGCAGGCAGAGGCTGGACCTTTTCGAAGCCACTGTTGCGGGCACAAATCCAGGGACCACCAAGCCTCAGCCTACAGGACAGGTGAAGAGAGACCCCGTGGGCCCAGCAGCCTGGACGCAGCCCCCTGCTGGGCCCAGCCGGGGAGTCCAGACGCCAGGACCTTTGCTTCCATGGGTCTCTGGGCGACCAGCTCAGTTCTGTCATTTCACCGTCCCCAGGGGCTTCCTAAGGGTCACCAGCCCACCTGGCATTCACTGGACGCTCAGCCCCAGCCAGGAGGCTCCCGGCGCTTGCTCACAGGGCAGTGGAGATGGGGGCCCACCTCCCAGAGCCCCAGGTTTAGCTGGAGCATCGGAACGGGGTGGGGGAGGGGGTGTGTGGGGGTGTGTGTGAGGGTGGGGGTGGGGTGGAGGTTATGGGGGTGGGGAGGGGTTTGCTGGTTGGGAAGGGGGTGGAGAGTGTGTGGGTGTGTGGGTGTGGGGGGCTGCGGGAGGGGTTTGCTGTTTGGGGAGAGGGTGGGGTAGAGGTGAGGGAGGGGATTTGGAGTGGGGGTGGGAGGTGGGGGAGGGATTTGGTGGTGGGGATGGGGTGGGGTGGGGGATGCTGTAGGTGTGTGAGGGTTGGGCTGTCTGTGGGGGAGTGGGGGGTGGGGAGGGGGAGGTGGATTGTGGGTGGGGGAGGGGTTCTGTGTGTGGGTGTATGTGAAGGTGGGGGTGGGATGGAGGTTATGGGGGTGGGGAGGGGGTTGCTGGTTGGGGTGGGGGGTGGGTGTGGGAGGTGGGGTGGGGGTGGGGAGGGAGGAAGGGGAGGGCCCCCCCTCGGCAGCCTCTTCCCTGAAGCCACACCTGCAGGCTAAAAGCAGCCGCCAGCACAGACCTGCCCTGCTGGCCCGGCTTTTGTGTTCCTTTCTTGGTCTGTTCAGTTCAAATTACAAAAATTATGGCTGCTCATTATACGTTATTAAAAAATGTGAAAAAACTTAAAGAACAAAATTAAAATTACCCGTCATCACACCCAAAAGAGATAATCATAATTGCATCTTGGGTACATCTCTTTTGGAGGGTACATTTCTTTTGCATTTGTGTGTATCTCCATGTGTGTAGATACACACAAATGCACACACAGATAGATGCACACTCATACGCTCGTGCATGTACACACAGAGAAACATATATGTGCACACAGATACATGCATACATAGATAAGCACATCGATATATACACACACAGATACATACACAGAGAGACATATACACACATGTACACACACAGTATTCAGAGATACATACACGCACACAGAGACGCATATGCATGCAGATACATACATACATGGATACACGTATCAAAACATGCACAGTAAATATATACACACAGAGACACATGCATACACACAGGTGTGCACACAAATGTACTGATGCACACATACAGATAAGCACGCACACAAAGCAGATGAACTGATTTTGCACACATCGTTCCATGCACGTTTCTCATGGATCAATGTGTGGGATGTATATAACGAATGCCTGTGCCTGACGTCCGGACACACCACAGATGCCGGGATTTAGTGTTTACAAACCACCCCGATGTGCAGGTCTGCCCTTGTTGGGAGAGGCCACCAGCCTCCCCAGGGCAGATTCCACAGTGGGGACAGCAGGGGATGGTGCTGGCTGTGGGCCTGCCCAACTGTCCTCTTCATAAAATGCTTTGTAGCTTTACCCCTGACTCCGCCATTTCCTGTGTTGGGCGGAGCCCATGCACTCATGTGAGGTGTGTGTGCACTCGTGTGAAGTGTGCGTGCACTCGTGGGAGGCGTGTGTGCACTCGTGTGAGGTGTGCGTGC